CGTGGCCGGCGCGCCCTCCAGCCCCACCAGCGCCTTGGAGACGTCGCGGACCCCGCAGCGCGCGTAGTCGAACTCGGCCTCCGCCACGTGCGTGTTGACGCGCTCGTGATAGACCTGGGGCGCCGCGGGGGAAGGAGGTGGGAGTGACTTGTCTGCTCCTCCTCGCCCGCCCGCATCCCTGCTCTTGTTGCCGGGTCAGACCCTATGCCTATTGGGATTTTCATCCCGGTGGGAGCCGGGTAGGATCTTCTCTTCTATTTTATAGAGAAACGGAGGCCCGCAGTTTAAATGAGGGCAGGACCCAACCTCACCCCTACCAGTATGCGTTCTGATTTTAACTAAACTCTGCTTCCTTTGGGGGTCACGCCCTGGCCTCCAGCTTGCCTGGCTCTTTTGCCTGTTTCCATCGTCCCACACTGTCCCCTCCTCACCACAGCCTGCCTGTCCTCCCTTTTACAAGTGTGTTTCCCAATGGGCCCCAGAGGAGCTCCCTATCCAAGGCCTTGGTTTAGGTCTCCCTGTTTACACCTTAGCAATCACGTGGCCCCCTCCTGATTTTAAGGCCCCAGGCTGCCTCTCCTTCGCATCCCAGTACTTAGACTGAGATCGCCCTCGTCTGGGAGAATCTCATCCTCCTCTTCCTCCAAGTCTCTTTTTTTAAAAAAATGTTTTTATTGATTTCAGAGAGGAAGGGAGAGGGAGAGAGCAATAGAAACATCAATGATCAGAGAGAATCATTGATCAGCTGCCTCCTGCACACCCCACACTGGGGATAGAGCCCCCAACCCGGGCATGTGCCCTGACGGGAAGGGAATAGTGACCTCCTGGTTCATAGGTCAACGCTCAACCACTGGGAGAGGGGGTGTCCAGGGCTCTATATGTCTAATCCAGGAGGGCCTGGGAAGTGCTGATTGATTATCCCCACCTCCACCACTCTCCATGTGGCCTCCCATGCCTACCCCCACCTCTGGGAGCCTTGGACTTGGGACCTAGGGCCCTGGGCTTGAGCCTAGCATTACCACTTAGAAGCTGCAGACCTTAGTCAAGTCCATGAGCTAAGGTCTCCTTACCTGTGCAAGAGGACTTGGTAGCAACCACCTCACTGAACAGGTGAGGGCATGCTGTGAGACTGTGCATATGAAACTGCCTCCACCATTAAGCAATAAACAGTATAGACCCTGGAGCCAGACTGCCTGTGCCAGCTCCCTCACATACTAGCTGTTTGACTTTGGGGAAGTTACATAACCTAGCCAAGCCTCGGTTTCCTCATCTGTAAAATGGGGATAATAGTTAACTACCTCATTGGGTCATCACGAGGGTTAAATAATTTGCTGTTTGTAAAGTACTTAGAGCAGCCTGCTTGCTGGTGTTTGCTGTTATTATTATGGTTGTTGTTACTGCCCTCCTGTTGCAGTGCCCACCAGAGCTCACTGCTGCCCCCTGGGGACAGTCAGGCACAGTTGGAGCAGATGTGCACCCTCCTCCCATCGGAACTGACCAGTGCTCCCCTCCAGCCCCTCACCTGGGTGGTGGTGTAGGCGTCTCCGTTGCGGTATCGAGTGACTTGACGGGTGCGGCGGACATAGTGGTAGCTGATGGCCTTCCACCAGATGCAGGGTGTGGCCTGCTGCATGCGGCCCACACGCTCCCGGACACTGCTTACATCAACGCGGTGCTGCAGCTCATGGCGGGCTTGGCAGTGCCAGCACTCCACCAGATAGACAGCATACAGCATGAGCAGGAAGGCCAGGGGGATGTAGACATAGCCGTTGGAGCAGGGGCTGTCATGGTACATGAGGCTGTTGCCCTGATAGGCGCTGCTGAAGGTGAGGCGAGTCACCGTGGTGACGTGGCACCAGGCCACGGCCCCCAGGCAGCCGTACATGAGCAGGGAGAGCAGCAGGCACTTCCAGTGGGACTCCCGGCAGAGGGACTTGGTGAAAGAGGGCTGGATGGGACGCTGCTACTCAGAGGGACAGGAAGAGGGGCCACGATGAGAAGGAAGTGGGACAGTGGCAGGACCCAGAACAGAGATGGATGCAGGGATGGCGGGGCAGGGGCCAGCATCAGAGATGACAGGCAGAGACCGGCAGGGATGTGGAGAGAACATGGAAGACCGAGAGGGGAGCCAAGGACCAGAGATAAACAGAGAAGTGACCCAGAGTGAGCCGTGAGGACAGGAAAAGGGAACAGAATGCCAATACAGGGAAGTGCAAAGAGACAGACACCCCAAGAAGCAGGAAGAGATCAGCGCCAGAGAGGGAGGGAGGAGGCCCAGGTGGCAAACACAGATGGATAGGGTGGCACCCAGAGAAACAGAGTCCAAGGACAGGCAGCAATGGAACGGGAGAAAGTGGAGGGGAGGACAGGGGAGGACAGACAGGCATCAGCGAAGGCAGGTCCCCAGCCCAGACCCCTTCCAGACGCTTCACTGGCACCACCTTCCCACTTAACAGGTGGGGCCCTCACTTCCAGACGTTCAGTCCGACGATCTGGAGGCCACTCCTCTTTGGCCCATCCACCTCCAAGTCCCTCACAGACAATTAGCCTCACACCTCCTTTGGAGGGGGGCCCCCAGGAAACCTCAGGCCCGGTATCCTTCCCCATGCTCTGCACCCCAGGCCCTCTGTGAGTCTTCCTCTTATACCCTAACATCCGTCCCCTGCTCTCAGATGGGAGGGAGGGGGCTGGTGTCCCTGAGCAAGAAGCAGTCCGGAGGAGATATCTAGAAGGGCAGAGGCATGGGGGGTGGGGGGCATGAGGGGATGTAAAACCGGGGCTGGGGGTAGGAAGGAAGACATTTGCAGCTCAGTCATTTGTCAAGAGATAGTGATTTTTGGTCCTCTCCGGGGCCTGTTCGATTGTTAAAGCACTCGGTGAGTTCTGTCCGACAGTCAACCCTCTGAGTTGTTTACATGTCTGGCTCTGCCACTAGACTGGGTATTCCTGAGGGCAGGCCCTGTCTCTTTGCATCCTGGCTGCCTACGGTGGTGCTGGCACCCAACAGCCACTTAATAGATAGGTATTGAGTTGGATTTCTCGCGGTGCCTGGGCTTTCCCACCCCTCCCCCCTGCTGTCTAGCTGTAGGAACCTCGCACACACCCTCCTGCTGAGATCCTGACTGATTCCTTCAGTTCCCAGAGCCTGACCTGAAGGCTAGCCAGGGCAAGGGAGAAAGGGATGGAAAAGTGGGCCCTGGACTTGGTGTGAAATCAAAGGAAAGATCTGGAAGTGTAGAGGGCTAGGAACTAGCACACAGCATAAACAAACCAGATTAGAGTCCATGAACCTTTCGGGGAGCCTTGTCCTTGGGGGAGGGGGTGCATCTGTGCACCCTCCTGGGTGTGCACTTGTCCCAGTGAGAGCGCACCTGACAGGGGCCCTCCCTGCAGGCCTGTCTGCCTGTGCTTCTGCCCCGTACAGTGTGCGTGTGTGTGCACAGGAGACGGGGTGCTCCTGGTACGCTCCTTAGTCTCTTTGTCTCCAGGCTCAGAGGACTGAAGAGAAAGGCCCCCAAGTAGGGATGTGCTTAGTCCCAGCACTGCGAAGGGGCCCTGGTCGCAGGGTCCCCGGGGCGGGGGACTGCATGAACAGTGGCAGGAGGTGCACACACACACACACATACACACACACACACACTCACACACTCCTACTCACACACACACAGAGATACACACAGGACACACACACAGGGCACACACACACTCTCACACACACTCTCGCACACATACACACACACTCACACACATACACACACAGAGATACACACTCACACACACAGGACACACACACACACACAGGACACTCACACACAGAACACACACAGGACACACACACACTCACACACACACACTCACACACACACTCACACACACACACACACACACAAAC